AAAAATAATACGTATTTTTTATCAATTTTAAAATTTTTTATTAAACAGTTATTTAATTTTTATTATTCTCGTTTGTCGATGCTCATCGCTCGTCGCTTGCCATTGCTCGCCACTATTTGCAGACTCGCAGCTCACCGCTTTGATGTAGACAGCGGGAAATGAATTTTCATTCGTGCGTCGCACGTCGCTCGCCGCTCGTCGTTTCGCCGCTCTGGTCTGTTTGAGCCATGGAGGACTTGGAGAGAGCATTAGGTGATTAGACAATGCTTGGTAGTATAACGGATGTGACAAAATACAGGCCACTTTTCGCACAGATTTAACGCATGGTACGCTACCGTCGAGCAGAAAAACTAATATGGCTGCTTTCATGTATTGACACTTGACACATGAGTAAACCCAAATTGACTTTAGGTCTGTTCTTTTTAGCTGAACTGACCGCACTAGTTCAGAGTTTATCTTTTTCCCTCTACATTAAAAGGAGAAAGATAAACTCTGAACTAGTGCAGCCAGTTCAGTTGAAAAGAACAGACCTTTTATGTTGTAATTACTTAAAAAAATGGGTAGTTGCAAAATTTGTGGTCGATTATAATCGAAATCCAAAAATACATCTATAATTTTTTACATGTAAGTAAATAAAATTAACAATGTTTCGGAAACGCTGCTTTCAGATGCCTTTTTATGCTTATGTAGAGCGTTATGTTCTAAACAACCGTTTAAAAATGATAAAACTTTATAACAAAATATTCCTTCAGGTTTCCGAAAGATCCGGAAAGACGGAAAAATGGATACAATTTGTTGATCACCCAGATTGGGAACCAACAAATTACGCCTATAACCATTTCAAAATTTCCCGCCCAGAATTTTGCTTCCGGTACATGGACTATCGCGGTTAAAGCTGTATCCCCATAGAGAAAGAAATAGCGGAACGGAACAGTAACAAAACAGTAGTTGAAAAGAGATATATTTATCATATCTCTTTTCCTCTACTGTTCCGTTAAGCCCCTTACACAATGCCAGGCAACAGGCAATAAGAACAGGAAATAACATACAAGAGAAAGAGAGAAAAGCTATTTCTCTCTTTTTCTTTCTTACATTATTCTCTATTCCTATTGCCTGTTGCCTGGCATTGTGTAAGGGGCTTTACTGTTCCATTCCGCTATTTCTTTCTCCATGGGGATACAGCCTAATGCTCTCTCCAGGTCCTCCATGGTTTGAGCCATTACTTTCCATAGGCGATGTGTATGTCGATGAAGGCTGCGTTCCGAAATTCACTGCCAGTACTGAAAATCTGCAATTTATGTTACGTATATTGTAGATTTTCAGTACTGGCAGTGAATTTCGGAACACAGCCGAAGTAAAACAGATAGCAGACGATTTGGCCATTTTGCACATGCGCGACGTCTGTAGCCTGCGAAGGAGATATAAGTAGGTACAACGCTTGCGCATAATGACCTAGTTTACATCGTGCACTTGATACGCGTATCAAGTACTATGGGTGTTTACGATAATTCAAGTTCGAGTTAGTTTTACTAGGGCCGAAAAATGAGATAGACATAACCATCTAGAACCTTTATGATTCATGACAACTCGACGCTGTCTTGTACTGCTTGAGTTAAATTCATTGAATTTATTGAGCAAATTTTATTGTAATAGAAAAATGTCATTTATTATTATTATTAATTATATTATTATTAATTTATTAAAGAAGTATACCAACATACATACCAACATTATTTGTTTCTTTCATAGACTGATTTGCAGTTGACATTTTTCTATTACAATAAAATTTGCTCAATAAACTCAACAAATTCAATGAATTTAACTCAAGGCAATACAAGACAGCGTCGAGTTGTCATAAATCATAAAGGTTCTAGATGGTTATGTCTATCTCATTTTTCGATCCTAGTAAAACTAACTCGAACTTGAATTATCGTAAACATCCTATATTCGTACCAAATTCAAACTAAATATTTAATACGCACGATGTAAACGCTGCTGGATCAACTTGATACGAGCGTAT